AGTCTCTATCCATTTGCACCTCGGCCAGCAAATCTGGCAAATTAAACAGCAGCAGACCTGCATCACGGACGGATACAGTTCAGTGAGCAACGGGCAGCAGCAACGATCGTGACAAGGTTTTGTAAAACCACAGTTCCCTTGGGAATTCTGACCACGGGACTTTCTGTTCTTGCCCTCCAGGGCCTTATCCTGCTTTCCCCGGCACTGAGGTGCATTTTGCCACAGAAAGGAAGGGGCCCGATTCCCCCCCCAGGCACTGAGCACTTTCTGCTCCTGCTGCAGGTGTGCGGCACTGGGACCCCAACAGGCACATCTGAACCCCAGCAGCCACCTGCCGACTCTTAGTCCTGGCTTCTCCTACACAGGGGCTATTAAATTCAGATGTCATGACATAAAATACCACCCCCATTTCACATGGGGATGAATGCAGAGAGGAAATGACTGTCCAGGTCCCAGCCCTGGGGACAGACATCCCCAGGGTCATTTATCCCCTGCATTCACTGAAGGGCGATGATGAAACAAGTCAAGATGCAGAGCTGGCCCTTGGGGTTTTAAGGATTTAGGTACATCCACCCTGTACGTAGCGGAAGAGGAATGACTTGTGCCCTGTGGGCTGTGACACTGGCTTTAGGCGCACAACTACCTCTGCAGCATCGCAAATGCTGGTCCTGCTTCCACGCCACCCCCATTGCACACTGCCTGCAACGACCAACCAGCTCAACGCTGCGGTGCTACCACACCTCAGACCCCAAGGGCACAGAGCATCCTTAGTGTCTCCTTATAAAACCGTTAAACTTGCCTTGCTTCTGACAAGCATCTTTTAAAACAAGCCTACTTCTCCCTGACAGGGTTGACTACACTGCCAGCTATCTCCTTCCATGATGGCCAGCCTGAAAAGCCCCGCAGCCAAGGTAGCCCATGGCCATGCATCTCTCCTCCCCAAGCGGGCAGTGCCTTGCAGCCTGACCTCCCCCAGTTGCTCCCTGAGCCGCACGCGCCAGAGAGATGGGAGCGGATGGACCGTGCAGGGGAGAGCCCAGCTCCTGACGCTCAGTCTTGTGCGTGGGTACAGCCTGCAGCATGCCTGGGGAGAGGTAAAGGCTTGCTCAGAAATACCGTCCCATATACCGCACGGTAACAGTGAGGTAGGGGAAGAGAACAGCTTTCAGCTGATGGCAGTGCCCCAAACTTTTCTGCGGCAAGAAGCGTTGCAAAGCGCATCTCCCAGCAGAGATGAATTACAGCTGCCATTTCTAAGCATCTTGCAGGTGCTGTCTGCTTCACGGAGGGAAAACACACCGTGATTTTACAACAAATACCAGTTCAAGGGTTTCAAGTAAGATTAGAAACCACTTCCCCTGCTGCTTTGATTGCTCAGCATTATTGGCCTGGGACCGTTCAAGGGCCAAGCTTCCCACAGAGCTTATTGCCAAGTATTATGTGTGCTTGAGATGCCAGTTTGCTCAGGATGCGCAGGGCATTCCCACTCACTCCACAGGGAATTGCCCAGGCTGTGCCAGAGGGCCGGGGCAGCCTCGAGGCTATGGACCTCAGCCACGGCAATGCAAAGTTCCCCCCCCCCCCTTTTTTTTTTTTTTTTTTTTTTTTCGGATGCCACACTCCTATCTAAGTTTTTTGTAGTTTTTTTACGAGAGACCCCTACATGGACATCACACCCTGACCCTGTAAGGTGCCTTCCCCAGTGAGCAAGGGCTCTGCCCTTGTCCCCTCCGAGCAGAGAACACTCAAGCAGTGCTCACTGCACATGGATTAGCAGAAAAAGCCATGATGCTAAGGCGAGGAAACGGCATCCTCGGTGCCACCACACAGCACACAGTGCAAGGGCAGTGGGCTGCGACAGCCCACATGCACAGCAAAGTAAAAGCAAGCACCTGGCACAGCCGGGGGAAGTTCCTTCACATCTCCAACACATCCTCCACCTAAATCTGAAGCAGTCCTCCTAGCCATCACGTTTACTAACTGAGGCTAAGACCCAAGAGATGCCCCACTCTTCCCCACACTCCAGCTAGAAGCATCCTTGGAAGGAGAAACCACCAAAATAAGTTAGGAGCATCCCCTGCCATCTCATGCTGATTGGAGTCTTTGTTAGAATTAGACTTGACAACTGGCAATAGGCTCTCAATGGGTTTATGGCAGTAGGTCCAGACCACAAGTTCTTCTGCTCAGGACCAAACCCACAACCATCTTGTGCTGCTCTGCACCACTCAGATGCTGAACTGGGATGGGAGCAGTCAGGAGGTGACGCTCAAGCCTGGAGAAAGGGGGATGGTGGCGGTCCCAATGCAGGGCTGTGCCAACTACGGCTATCTGGCGCAGAAGCAAGCAGCTCCCCAAGGGGGGCTGCAAAACCACTACTGGGGGGCACAAATGATGAGCTGTGGGATCCTACTTCCATGCAACGCTGTTTAAACCAGTGCACCCTGAAAGGCACGGTGGATGGATGGATCCACCAAAGGCAGTTCAGCCTCAACACGTCACCCTGTGAACACACCGTGGTCTACCAGCACGCTGGCCCAGGCAGTGAGGGCAAGGCAGGCCAGACCCTGGGGAGGGCAGCAGGTGAGCCCGGCAGGGTCTGGAGCCCAGGGGCCATGCCGAGCAGCGGGAAGAGGCTTTCTGGCTCCAGAGCTTAGCCCAAGCTATCACATGAATATTCCATGAATGCAGATGAATCGACAGTATTGCTTCATGCTTTTAAGCCCAACCTTGTCTAATCCTATTCAGAGCAGCTCTGGGTGGGAAAGCAGTAGCAACGCCGGAGGTCCTGTACCCCCGTCCTGCTGCTGCTACCAGGGATGCAGCTCTGGCAGCCACGTGGGCTTCCCAATAAAAAACAGGGCTGGTTTCAGCAGTGTTTCACCCGCCAGCCCTCTCCATCTTCCGAGGAAAGCAAAACCCAGCCTATCTGGCAGCCAGCCCTTTCCTTCAGAAACGAGCTGTCCCGGCTGGAGAGCTGGGAGCAACCAGCTGGATTTTTTCCAAAGAGCCCAGTCACAAAGCAACTGGCAGGAGTGTTAAGGGAAGAAATTTGCTCGGCAGCTACCGGCCAAGTGGCAATGACTCAATCCTTATCGGTTCATCTCCGGCAGCCAGCATGCCCGGGGAGGAATGCAGACAGCACCCCGAAAGCTGCACCTTTCCAAAGCACCTCTTTCCCAGGCAACTCAACAAGTATTATGATCAGATACTGTAACATCATCAGTTAAGGTTTACACGTTTTTAAAGAAAATACTGGTAACCTGATGGTACTTTTGCATCTGTGGGATCTGGTGGGATTTATTCCAGGTTTGGCTTTTCTGACAGGATGTGGAGTTTTATTACAAAGGCACAGGTATCAAATAAAACCAGCAACATTCTTTTAATTAAATATCCCAATAAAAAAATTAACACTCAATTTAGGCTTTACGTATTCCCCCCTTATTAAGAGACTAGTTTTGGTTTTTTTCCCCTCTGGAAAAGTTTTAGTGCAGTGATTATATAGCAACAGAAAAATAAACTTAAAAAGGCACAAACTGTTTTGTGGTTTTTTTTTTTCTTTCAACTTTTGCTAAACACTTTATATTTGTCTATTTTACTTCGGTTAATAAATCACTGAATGCAGCAAGAAAATATTCTGCCAATTTCTGTACACTATACAAAAACCCCTACCAACAGTACATTATTTGAGCTTCAGGAGAAATGTACAGCATAGAAAGACTTTTAAAAATATAGTGCCCCATACAGAAATTTTGTTAATTAAACTCACGGACTCTTGCTACAGTGCCCTTCACCATCCTCATTTTCCCCCCTTATTGCTGGGACACACACTGGGACTCTTCTGCCCCTCCGGCTCCTTACAGGCTGGACCGAGCCTGAGCCCAGCACCGAGACTACCGGGGTTGTGCCAAACGGCTCCTCCATCCCTGGCATCGGTGCCCAGCCCACGGCCCCAGCGGGGATGGGGTGAGCCCCCTCCCTACTGAGCTCATTCAGCTCTGCTGGCCACGTCTCAGTGCTGGGAAAGCATTCGGCTGGAGAGGAAAGGGCAGCTCTTGGTTCGAGTGAGACGCAGGCAGCATCCCACACGTGGGTCCATGCTGCCTGCCACCCTGCCCGCCCCATGGCTCCTCTCCTCTCCGCTCGCCCCACGCTGCCTCCCTTCTGGGGCTCTCCCGCTGATGCTGCCATTGTGTTTGCAAGTGCAAGCGTGGTTAACACATGCTCTACCCTTTCATCAAGTTCATCATGATAGGTGTTGGGTTTTTTTTTCCCCCCACACGCATAATACTTCATAAAATAGCTTTTTTTTTTCCCCAGGAACTAAATTAAAGATGTTTTCCCTTTAACTGTATTAACAGAGCTGAACCCCTCCACCCACCCCAAATTAAGTGCAGCCAGAAATGGTTTTCTTTGTACTTCTGATATCACGTTTTAAAAATTAAAACCTACCGATCTTTTTTTTCCCCCAAGACGTAATTCATGCAAAGTTGCTATTTGTTTAAATAAGTTATAAAAGTTGATATCTCAGGCTAGAAGAAGCTGTAGTCTTGGTTATTCTTTAGTTGGCAGGCACTGTACATACATACCGGGTACAGACACATGCCGAATCTGCTTTTGCATTGCTTTTTGCATTGTACAATTCACAAATCTGACATCATTAAAGCAGTTAATTACCTTTGATGGAAGGCTGCAGTGAGGCCATCTACATTTATCAAACAAGCAGCTGGTTAAGAGAATAAGTATGCTCCCACCCCGGCGCTCCCCAAAACGCTATTATCTGTCACACGTTGCTTCTCTGAAGTGGTTAGATTTGGTGCGCACATTAATGTGCAAATGTGTTGCCATAGGAACTGCAGCCTCCATTACGCCTCAATGACACCATTCAGCAAAAGCCAAAACTAAAAATAATAACAACAACAAAACCCCCTTAAAAATCAAATAAAAACAAACAAACAAAAAACCCCAAAAGGCAGCAAAGAGAAAGTCCAACGCACATGCGGAGTCTGGCCCAGGACTGCAGGCTACGTGTGGCTACAGAACAGCGCAGGAGATATTTAGGTTTGATCTTAAACTTCACGCTATGGAACAATGGGGCTCAGAGTTCAGCCGGTCCAAGTCTGTGCTGGCTTAGGAAGGAGGGTGGGAATGGAGCGGAGTCGTGGTTACCGGATGCACCCAGGGTCTCTCAGACATTTGGCAGAATGAGGCACATCCAAAAAAAGTGCAACACCAGTGCCGTGGTGGCAGTGCGATGTGTTTGAGTGCGTGCACGCGCTTTCCTCTTCATGCATTGTAGCAAGCGGGTTGGGGCGGGGGGGTTTTGCCCCCCACCTTTTCTTTGAAAACTATTAACCAGTAAATAACGGTAAGACGAATGCATATTCTACTTACTGGTGCATGAAATACTGAAAACTGCATTCAAGTAATATTTCTGCACTATTATGAATGCATCACTATGTTATCTTACATTTGGAAAAGGAGAAGACTATGTACACCAGAGCAGTGGTACTATTTTGCAGTTAAAGTTTCTGTGCTTTACGGAGGTACCTGGGAAGGAGAGGCCGCTGCTCCGCTCCGCTCTGCCCCACCAGGTCGCAGGACTCCCAGCGCCACCACCTACAGCATGCGAGGAAGGAGCGCTGCTCGGCCGGACCATCAAGCTGCACGGAGCAAACCAAAAGATGACATGAGGGAACAAAAACTCAACCCAAAATTGGCAAATCAACAGTGACGAGAAATAGAAGGGCAATTTATTATTTTTGAAGGGGGAGGAGGAGGAAAAAAAAAATATTTTTTTTGTTTGGTTGGTTGGGTTTTTTATTCTTCCCGCAGCTGCAGGCGGTAGCGGTGGTAGCGGAGCTGGAAAAACATTCTCTCCAGTAAGGAGCGCGTCATCCCCGGCAGGGCGTAATGTTCGACGACACCCACGTGCTTGAACCCCAAGGACTCGTAGAGCTTGTGGGCTGCCATCTTCACAGCCGTGGTTCCCAGCACGACAGAGGAGTAGTTGTTGAGCACAGCAAACTCCAGCACTTTGCGGCCCAGGGCCTTGGCGATCCCTTTGCCGCGGTAGTTGGAGTCGACGGACATGCGGCGCAGCTCCACCGTGTTGTCCTCCTCGTTGCCCCGCGCCGCCACGATCCCCACCACGTTGCCGTCCAGGACGGCGACCCAGAAGCAGGAGCCTGCGGGAGATAAAGCAGCACATGTAGCTGCCGGCCACCTCAGACAGGCAAAACGGGCAAGGCACCCGCTTATGAACACGCTGATGGGAGCCAGGCTTGGGGTCAGAAATCACCTCTGTCACACGTGGGGACTAACAATCTCCATAAATAAGGACCAAATTTTCTTTTCCCTTGACACTGTGAAGGGAGTGTTGTTTTCCAGAGGAGTAACGCACAGGAAAGTCACTACGAACCAAAACATGAGATTCCTAGGGACCAAGTGTTACAAACTGCGTTTGGCTGCCATCACAGACAGGTAACGATCCTCAGCTCATGGTGGCACGTGATGGGTAACTTCTGACCCGCACACAGTCACGCTCTCCTGTCCCACCACTAACTTCACTGCAGTGAGTCCCGGATCCCTCCCAGCCCAGCACAACCCATTTTTGCCTGCTCACTGCATCCCACCCCGAGACCAGGCAGTGGTGCAGGCAGCCCCTTGTATGCTTTGCTGTCAAACTCCTCCTCTACTAGGAGCCACACTTTCCAGAGGCTCTCGTCTCCAGGCAAACAGCTCGCCTGCCGCGTGGGCAGTGCATCACTGGGCTCATCAGCTGAGAGCCGCCGATGTGCTCTGGGCAGACCTGTGGCCTCCAAAGTGAGCAGGACCGGCCGCACGCAGGCAGGGAGCCCACGGAGGAGCGGCACAGGGTAGTGCACAAAGCATCCGTGGTGATTGGGGAGGGCAGGATCTGACCCAGATGCCAGTGAGGGGAGGGAAAGGCTGAGCCCCTTTCCCTGGTGCTGTGGTGAGAGGCAGGGAGCCAGCTCAGAGCAGGACGGGAGCCCCTGTGCCAGGGCACAGCAGGCAGGGGTTGGACACGTGGAGGTGGTGGAGCCTCCCTAGGTCTGAGAAACCTGTGCCTGCCGTGGGCCAGACACCCAACCACGGTCCCAACCTCTTGGTGGGACTCATTAGGATGTTGCTTTTTGGGTACAATGCAAGAGCAGCCCTGATGGCCCAGGGGTCCCAGGGAAGGGGGCAATGACACCCAGCCCTGGGCACCCGGGCACTGGTGCAGCCATTTCCCCTCCTCAAATCTCAGCACCTTCCTACCACTGCAAACAGCATGCAAAGGAGCATGGAAAACACTCTGGAAGAGAGATGCCATGGGAAAGGCAATCCACTGCAGAGAAATTGCTGCAAGCCCCCAGGAGCAGAGGAAGACTATCCCTCTTCCCCAGGGACACTTTGCCCTCAGACAGCACCCAAAGCTTGTTCGCAGCCACGACCGCAGCCTTGCCAGATGAACAGGGCTTGCTGCTGCACCCTGAGGGGAGCTGGAGAGCTGTGAGCACTGCTCCGCACATGCAGGGACAGTACGAGGACCTGGCCTCCCTGCAGCATCCTCCTGCCACCCCCTTCTCCAACCCATGAGGCCTGGCTTGTTTCTGACCTCCCTTCATGCACATCTGGATATGTAAGCGCATCCTCCTCTTGTGGACTTCAGGGGCTCAGTGCAGAACTTGCCTAAGAGTTTCAAATAGAAAATCCAAACTGGGCAGCAAGATGAGAAACTAGGCTCACAAAAGCCAGCAAAGCATGAACAAGGGAAAACGCCACATACACGTGCCTGTATATGGGCATCTCCTGTGCACAGCCAAGATCAGGCTCACCCACCCCTTTTTCCCCCCTGCAATTTGGGGTACTCATGACCAGATCCCCCCCCTTGCTTTGGAGCTGCTGCTCCTCCTCTGCTGGTGAGTGCCAGATGAGAGCATCTTGTGAGCTGGAAACAAGGTGTTCAAGCAACTCGGACCAAAACCATGTAGAGTTTCAGTGAACAAAATCAGCCCATCCTTAGTTGCACGCCAGCACCAGTCAGCTGGCAGTGCTGCTCCAGGAACGAGGATGCAGCTTAATGAACAGGCTGCGCTTTTGGGGGTGCAGGGGGTCAGCACTGCCGCTCTGCAATGGGGCTGAAGGCTTGGTAGGGTAGATGCTGCCTTCAAGAGGCCAAAGCAAAACCCATCTAATCAAAGCCCAGCAGCCAGAAGGGCACCCAGTCAGGCTCGGGGCAAGCACCCCAGGGTCCCAAGCGCTCCGACCACAGCCCCAGTTATGAAGCTCAAATAAAACTGGACCTCACTGGAGAGAGGTACTGATATCATCCCATCCCACTGCTCGTAACGGCCAACAAACATTCAAGCTGATGCAATTAGAAACTGCTGTAACTCTGGAGTTACAGCAGCCCCACCAGCAAGGGGACTTAAAAAAAAAAAAACAAACCACCCTCAAATGAAATTCAAGTAACGAATTACTCAGGTCTTAACTAGAGACCTTCACAGAAAATCCTGGTGAAGGAAAAGTGTCTTGAATTGAACTGAAAAGACCAATGTTGTCAGCACAGGGCAACTGCGACCTTAGCTTGGTTATTAGCTTGGTTATTGCTTAATTAACACCCAACAAAGCCACTATTCAATTACAGCAGCTAACAAGGGGCACTGACAGGTCTCTCGCCGAGAAGGACTTTCAGTGCTCAGGAGGAACATGGCTTCACCAAGAGGAAGAGGATCCCATCACAGGAGAAACCCCTGGGGTTTCTCCACCACAGGCGGTGGCCTTCTCCTTCCCCAGCGCTAAGCAGAAGGAAACCTGACCTGGGCAGCAGCTTCATCTTTAGCATCAACCCTGCCAACCGCCCCGACCCAAACGCATGGCACATCTCCGTAAGGACCAGCGTTAAACAGCCCGGGTGGGTGCTTAGGGGCGCACAGCACCGCTCCCCCTGCAAAATGGGGTAGGGGGGGAAATGAATAAGGCAACTCAGTGTCCTTCGTTACTGAAGGAGAGCAAAGCATGGGGCGGCATGAGGTGCCTGCCTGGCTGCTGCCCACGGGACAAATACACCTTGCGACTCGGTGAAGCCATCAGAAAAAGATGGCTGAGGTCTTCCACGCTTCCCCATAGCACAGCCCAGCTGCCGAGGAAACAAACCAAGGTATGAGGGTACAAACAAAGCGTGGGGGGACCAGCCCAGGTTCAACCCAGCACACCAGGCTCGTCCCTGCCTCCAGAGCGATGTGCGGCTCCAGCGACGCTCACTTTTGTTCCCACTGCGAGCAAGTCATTACACTGTCGCTATCTAGGTCAACAGCTAATTTTTAAAACACCGGGACCCATCTTGACCCATTTATCATGAGCAGTTAAGATGTCTCTCCTCCACTGCCGCGTTGACAGTGCGGCTTGTTCCCCTTCATTCACCTGGATCTCAAAATGTAATTTATCTAGACATGACCCCAGACAAAGACCTACAAGTGCTGAAACAGCCGCTGCCTTCCCTCCGAATACAAATCGCAGGGCTGAGAGCTCACTGCTCTCTGCTCCGCAGCCTTGTTCTTAAACCCCTCGTGACATGGCAGCTCTGCCCAACGCACACCCCAGCCTATCCATCACGCCTCTGGCTGCACGGCAAGCACACCATGAAATTGGGGCCACGGTGATCCTCACCCCTACATGCACAGTCACCAATTTCAGCTCCCGTGGCATAGCCCAAAAAGCAGATTCATGAGTCCCCCCACATCCAGGGAGCAGAGATGAGAAACAACTCCTGGGGATGCTCTCCTGGGGGCACATGGTGCTGTCCCCTGGCACCCATCTGGTCCCGAGGCAGCCCCAGAAAGTGCCACAAAGGAGCCAGCAACTGACTCCCACTGCGCCACAGCCGGTGGCACAGTCACCATGTCCCTGTCACCCAGCCCTATGTGTGGCAACTCCTCCTGGAGCTGCTTCTTCAGCAAGACTGGCTCATCTTCCTCAAACCAGGGATACCAACCTAGGTTCCTCTCGGCTCGAGGTTACACGATTACTTCCCTGATTGCTTCCCACTTTTATTCCTGATTTTCCCTTTTTAGCAAGCACCTCTCCTCTGTGCCCACCAGGCCTGAGATGCTGCTAAAGCTCAACCAGTAACACGCTTCCCACCTTTCTAAAACAGCACGTTTCCAGTATTTTTAGGTCTTCTGCCTATTTAAAACCCAAATCTGGACAAGCCCACCATGGCAGAGCCCACAAGGCCCTTCACACCCCCGGCCCCCTCTGACCGCCCTCCAGGATGGAGGCCGTACCCTCACACCTGGCCATCCTAGTGGGGACCGACCTGGTTGCAAGCAGCATGATGGGAAGCCTGCAGTCCTTGTTAGTTTTTACTTACAACTTTAAAGCTTAATTATAATGATTTTTAGTTCAACATGAAAAGGAATAGTATCTGGCACATCTCCCAGTGTGTGTTGTGCATGCAACGCTTATAATTAGCAGCAGACAGGACACATCTGCTCAAACAACACAAGTTGTATTCGGCTCTCGTTTACACCAGTGCCATCAATCCCCAAGACTTCTACCCTCCAGGGAGCTGCGTCCCATTCGGATGGGGATTTGCTACCGAAAGCTGTTTTGGGGTCCCACCACATGCTGCTGACCTTGGGCTGAGACCTTCTCTCCTCTGGGCAAACCCTCCAGTTTCAGAGCAGGAACCCTGAGGGCCTTCAGTTTGTTTTTTTACCTAAACTCAACATGTTTTCAGCAATCCTAGCCAGCTGCAGCTCCTCACCATATCCACTCTTCCAGCAGCACTTACTCTGGAGCAGGGCGGAAGCACCCTGGGAAAACCACCCCACACTGCCACTCCCCAGGCCTGGGAGGGGGGTCTCCCATCTGTTCTGGACCGAGGGGATTGACTCAGAGCCTGTCTTGTTTTTGCACTTGTTCATACCTAGGATGAAATAAAATTAACTTCATCTCACCTGTCAGTAATGAGCAACAGCCTTATTGCTCGCAGCGCTATTAATAGCAAGAGCTGACGTTTTACTCTCTCGCACCGCTATCTGAAAATAATCACTGCTGCAAAGATAAACACAAACCCTGACAGCTACTACTCTCCCTGCCCTTCAGATACTCATCTCGTGGCAGCGTCTCTGTCTCTGCCTTCGCTCATCTGCCTCCATCTTCTGGGGTCCCCCTG